GAGGTCACCAGGTTGATTCCCAGTCAGGGCACATGACCAGGATGCAGGCTCCATCCCCAGTAGGGGGCATGCAGGAGGCAGCTGATTGATGTTTCTGTCTCTCTCTACCCCTTTCCGTTTCTCTTACTCTAAAATTAATAAAGACATATTTTTTTAGTCCTAGCCCAGTGGGCGGCAAACTGCGGCCCCTTGATTGTGGCTCTTCCACAAAATACCACGTGTGGGTGCACACATACAGTGCGATTGAAACTTCGTGGCCCATGCGCAGAAGTCAGTATTTTGTGGAAGAGCCAGTATTTTGTGGAAGAGCCACACTGAAGGGGCCAAAGAGCTGCATGTGGCTCGCGAGCCACAGTTTGCTGAGCCGCAGTTTGCCGACCACTGGGTTATGTTTACATGCATGCATACAAGTACTTCAATTGATCTCTTACCCACCCCCCCAACCCTCCCTGGCCTTCCGCTGTAGTTTGACAGTCTGTTCGAAGCTGCTCTGCCTCTGTATCTATTTTTGTTCATCAGTTTATAATGGTCTTTATTAACCAAGTTCAGGTTTTTTGTTTTCTTTTTAGATTCCACATACGAGAGGGAAGGGAAGGGAAGGGGAAGGGAGGGGAGGGGTGGAGAATGGAAGGGAAGGGAAAGTTATCAATAAATTTGGATCAGTTTGGATGCACACTTCCTCCCAATTTTTATTACTTTTCTAAGTATTCCTGAGCCAGGTTATCTCAGCTGGTTAGAACATTGTTCCAATATGCCAACGTTGCAGATTTCTGCGGCCCCTTGAGTGTGGCTCTTCCACAAAATACCACGTGTGGGTGCACACATACAGTGCGATTGAAACTTCATGGCCACACTCAAGGGGCCAAAGAGCTGCATGTGGCTTGTGAGCCGCAGTTTGCCAACCACTGTCCTAGCTGGTTTGGTTCTGTGGATAGAGCATCGGCCTTCGGACCCAAGGGTCCTGGGATCGATTCCAGTCAAGGGTTCAAGAGCACATACTTTGGTTGTAGGCTGCTTGCCTGCCCAGGCCCTGGTCAATGCTTGTGCAGGAGGCAACCAATCGATGTGTTTCTCTCACAGTGATATTTCTCTGTGTCTTTCCCTCTCTCTTCCACTTTCTCTAAAAATCAATGGAAAAATATCCCCAGTGAGTGTTAAAAAACACACAAAAAGGTATCTTTTAAATAAGAGAGAACAAAAGAAATGGTCAAAGATTTACATTCAAGGGTTTTCATATTTAAAGCATTAGATCAAAATTGGAAATACGGGGGTGGGGGGTGGAAATGCCTAGCATCCTC